TTGTTATCATGTTGTTTACTTCAAGAGGTGGAAAGAGACTTTTCTGGAAGCATTGCCTTTTGTAAAATGCATGATTTGATTCATGATTTTGCACAGTTCATTTCAAAATCTGAGATAGTGATTTTGAAGACTCTTTCTTCAAGGAGCAATATTTCTAGTTTTAGACATTTGAATCTCATCTGTGATCAGCAAATGCCGCCAACAATTTTAGCGAATGTTGCTCAATTACACACTTTGTTTTCAAAGCATGGTTTTCCCCATGACATGTCAGGGAATTTTAAAAGGTTACGGGTTCTCGGATGTCGTTATGATGTTGACAGTGAAGAATTGCCACCATGTTTCGACAAAATGAAAGGTTTGAGGTACTTAGACATTTCTGGAACTCAGACAAAAGAATTGCCCAGGTTCGTTACCAATCTATACAATTTACAAACATTTAGATTCCAGAATTGTAGATCTCTCAAAATGCCTCATGAAGGATTAGAAAATTTAATCAACTTGAGGCATCTCCACTTCAATAATGAAAATTGTATGCCTGCAAACCTTGGGAGACTGACATAAATGGGTGATCTTATCCTTGGTCCTGTCATAGAAGTCACCATATCCAAGCTGATTTCAGCTGCTGCCGAGCAAATCAACCTTGCAGTCAGTTGGAAGCAGGAACTCATCATTCTCCAAAACAAACTAGTCTTGATTCAGGCTGTGTTGCAAGATGCTGGACAAAGGCAAGTTACAGACATGGCTGTGAAGCACTGGCTCCTCAGGCTCAGGCAAGTGGCAGATGATGCTGATTACAACAAAGATTTTAAAGTCAAATTAGAGCTAATCTCATTAGGACAAAGATTTTACAGTCAAGCAAATCTCATTGAGAGTTAAGGTATGGTTCATTTTTTTCTTTATTTCCTTGTAATTTTATAGATTTACAGTCAAATTTTACACACCCAAAAAAAGAAAAAAGATATTACTGGGTATAGTGATAAATCAGTTGGTGTATGTCAAAGAATTGTTTTCGATTCTTGTTTTTGAGCTGTTAAACGGCCCAATTTTCGGTTGGCAATGTTGTTGGACAGTTATTGGGTCAAGTGCTTCTTTCTTTGTGGGCTCTTTATAATTATATAATCTCTTGTTTTATTTTTCCAAAAAAAAAACCTTTTCTTTCGTCTAACAATGACAGCCTTTTGTGATCACGGGCGGATGGAATGTCGTTGTCCGCGATGACTCATAATGTTTTTTTTATTCACGTGCCACCCAATAATTCATGTCTCATGTTGAAAAAGAAGGAAAAAGTATAGAACGAGACGATAATGATGTTACAGAAGCTATTTTCAATTGGGAAACCGAATAGCAAACCGCGTATACTGTTTTAAAGTATTCAACATTTTAAGTTATAATTTTGCGTTATAATAAGTAAATAATTTAAATAATAAAATATAAAATTTAAATATAAATTTTATGACATATAAATTTAAATGAATAAAGTAATAAAAAGTTG